CCTTCCTTCCGGGCCAGCAGACGGGGCGGAGAGCTCCCGGAGGTCAGCAGAACTAGAGTTTTGCCGGGGATTGCACAGTGGATGAGCGCCTTCTTCCTCTTTGAAGCTTTCTAAAAACACCCTGGTTCCTACTAGTGGCCTGGGAGGGAGGTTGAGTTTTGGTTTTTGTGGCCAGGAAGCATAGAATCAGCTTCTGTGCCCTCGACCCCACGGTGTCACCCTGTCATTCAGTCCAGGTCTGACGCAGCTGCAGCTGGCCTTCCACTGCCCCCTCCCTCCAGCCGCCTACTCTTTGGGGGCACTCAGTGGACTTGCCCTCAGAGCTCCAGAGCTGGAAGTGACTTCTGAGCCGGGCTGTGGTTTCCTCACTTCCTCAGTGCAAGTGACCAGCCCCTCCCCGCAGGAGGGCCTCTGCTTCCTGGTCACATCCCGCCTTCTGAATGGGTCCCCTTTCCTCCCTCATCCGGGGCCGCTCGCTCCCTTCTTTTCTCATTTCTGGCTAAGTTTCTGGGCAAGTCTGCAGAGCCCAGGGCTGTGGGGAATTTATTCATCGTTAGTGAGAATGGCGGAGCCTCCAGAAACCTGCCAGTGTAGGGGCATTGGTGGTTGGCAGTATAGAGAGAGGGAGGACTCAGCCGGATACGGGTGGAACTTTGTGCGGGTCTGGGGCAGGCTGGGAGGGGACAGGGCCTGGAGCTGTGAGTTTGGGCTTGTACCCTCTGCACCATGGGGCAGGGGCACCCCCCCAGCACCCTGCCTATATTGGGTGCTGGTGATACTTTGGTGGACCTCCCTGGGGTGGCCTTGCCTACCCTAGCCATGCCAGATGGGCCTTGCTTGGGAGTGCCCAGCTCCACCCTTTGTGGGGAAACCGGATTCTCTGGGCAGCAGTGGTGGTTTGTGAGTCTGCATTTCTGTGTATACCTGAGCCTGGCTGCTGTCTCTCTCTGCAGAGGGGTGCTGGCCCCAGGCCCCAGGCCAGATTGCTCAACTTGTGCTCCCCCAGGGATCTGAACAGACACTTCACTTTACCTCTGATCTGTCCCACCCCCACCCCATGCTGGACGCCATCCTGAAGGGAGAGGAAATGGCATCTGACCTACCCACAGCCCCAGTCCCTCTAGCTGGGCCCCTTTGGAGTCTCCCAGCTCCTCCCAGGCCCAGGCTAAAGATCTTTCTCTGGGGAGGACATCTCCCCAGGATCTGGCTTGTGCAGGTGGCCCAGTCCTTCAGCCTCCCCACCTACCCGACCCCAGGTAGGCTGAGAGGGCAGGCCTGGGGTCTTGGAGAGAGTCTGGGGTCCTTCCGCAGGCAGGAGGAAGCCTGGTCCCAAGATGTCACAATTTCCTCTGCAGTGAGCAAGTGCATCTGGGGGCGGGAGATAAGTGATAAGCAGGGTGGCTCCACTGTCCCAGCACTGTTTTCTACGTGGCCTCTGCCCTTTGCTGTGGATGTGGCTCATGCAAGAGCCTAGAGTGGTTCTGACAGTGCCTACCTCTGCTCCAGGTACCTGCCAACCCACTGAGCACGAAGAAGGGGCTGGGCTCCTACCCCATCCACCTCTGCACACAGTGGGGCCTGGTGATCTTGGCAGCCCCTCCGCTCCACGGTGCAGAGGGCCCTGTAAGAAGTGGTGCAGAAAAGACTCCATGTATGGGCTTCCTGGGGCAGGGGGCGAAGCTGGACCATCACCTTTTCCAACAGGCCCCTCCCTGCCACTAACAGGAAAGGAAACTGCAGCACTGAGTGAAGCCACCTGTGGGCTGTTGCCCAGGACCCTCGCTGCTTCTCTGTGAAGGTGGTGGAGAGGCCTGAGGTCCTGCCTCTTCACCAGTCCTGCCCTTCCTCTCTAGGTTCAGCTCAGTACTCTTGGAGTCCCCAGATGGCCCTGGTACTAGCCCACTCTCTCTGTCCCACGGCCTTAGCGTGTATCTCTTCTTCCCCTCAGATCGGCAGAGAGGAGTTCATGGGTAGGGTCCCAGTGCGGGTGGCATGGCCTTGCTACGAGGGGTGGCTAGGCCTCCCCATAACTGAAAGTAGTGTTTGCGGTGGGCCAGGGAGCTGAGGGATGGGTCCATTGGGGACTCCTCTGGGCCAGTGCCCAGCATCCTCCATCTGGCCCTGCAACAGGCATAGGGGCCGGGACAGGGTGGACAGCACTGAGAGGACCCCTCCAAAGAGGGCTGCTTCATGAGCTGGCTGTGGGACTGGGGGTGAAAGCTGGGCAGGATCTGTATGGACTGATCGGCGCCAGCCATTCAGGGGGCCCACTGGGTATGGGCCCCTGGGCTGCCCAGGGTCAGATAGGGGACCGGTGTTTAGGCAAGTATGCAAGATGCTGTGAGGCAGCAGCTGAGGTGGTGGCTGATTCTGTCTGGTGGTGAGGAGGCGGCTTCCTGGTGAAAAGTCTGGTAGGATGTGGGACAGATCTGAAATTCTGACTCCGGGGGATTGAGAGTGATACCCTTTGAACTCCAGAAAGATCCTGCCTGCCTGGCCACCTCCCCTGCCACCTGGCTTCCTCCACTGGCTCCTCCTTCCTCCTTGGTGCCAGTTTCCCAGGGCAGTGCCTACCCCAGGTCCTCTCACTGTACCCTGGCCCCAGAGGAGGCCATACTAGGGGAGCTTTCCCTGTGGAGGCCCCAGGGGAGGCTGTTGCCTCGAAGCTGTCCCTGAGCAGCAGTGTCCTCGGTGACTGCAGGGCTCCTTGGAGCCAGCGGCCAACCAAAGGGAGGGTCATGGATCTGTGATCTCGCAGAGGTGTGGGCTAAGGTCACCAGGACTTAGTGATAACAGAGGCCAAAGCCCAGGCTGTAGGCCCCCCGGATGAAGTGGGCCAGCCTGTGCCCAGGGCACTGCCCCAGGAGCCAACCTGGGTGTCCCCCCTCACCCAGCACTCCACACCTGGGGTGAGGGGCTTCTGTAGCCAAAGACCCCCATCCATATGCAAAGCCTAAAAGGGCAATGCCCAGTGGAATCAGAGGGGACCTGGGTCTGCCTCCAGCCTCTGTTGGCTGCCAGGCAACTCCCCTTGCCCCCCAAGCAGCCCCAGGCCTCTGTGGAGCTGCTTTGAAAAGCACTGGCACACTAGACTCAGTGTCCTTCCCTGCTTGACTGTCAGCTTTGGCTCCTTGGGGGAGGGTCTTCCAACCCTGAGTGCATGCCCTATTCCCACTTTAGATAAGGAGAGTGCCTGCCCCTGCCTCCCCCAGGAGACCTTGGCTCAAGACCTTAGATGTCTTGAGTCCCAGCTATACCTCTTCTGTGAGCTTGGGCAAGTTAATGAGCCTCTCTGGCCCTCCATTCCCCACTACAGAATGGAAGCAATGGGCAGGCACGGTGTCACAGGCCTATAATCCCAGTGCTCTGGGAGGCTGAGGCAGGAGCATCACAAGCTTGAGTCTAGCATGTGTAACTTAGCAAGACCCCTGTCTCAAAATTTAAAAAAAGTAAAAAGGGCTGGGATGTAGCTCAGAGCAGAGGCCCTGGGTTCAATCCCCAGTACCACAGGGGGAAAAAAAGAATCAGTGATGTTGACCTTGAGAGTATTTTAAGAATGGAGACAAGGACTTGCTCAGCACACAGGAGATTTAATGCTGCCCAGCCACTGGGGCACCCGCTTGCTCCTGGGGTCAGTTCCCAGAAGGACCTGCTGTGAGCTTCGCTGTGCCTCAGCGATCACCCCATACTAGACTTCCTAAAAACACACAGAAATGCCCCTGAGTTGTTTTCTTTAAAATGGTTGATTTTTTTAAAAAAATTTTTTGGTACCAGAAATTGAACTCAGGACCTTGCATTTGCCAGGCAAGTGCTTGTGCTGCTCAACCATATCCCTAGCTAAAATGGTTGATTTTTTAAAAAAAATTTTTTGGTACCGGAAATTGAACTCAGGACCTTGCATTTGCCAGGCAAGTGCTTGTGCTGCTCAACCATATCCCTAGCTAAAATGGTTGATTTTTATGTTGTACAGATTTCACCTCAATAAATTATTAATAACAACAACAAAATACGTTCAGATAGTTCCAACACTGTCGTAAATGTCACGCTGATTTTAACAGGAAGTCAAAATCAGAAGATAGCCAACAGTTCCTGGGCTGTTAAAATTGGATGTTTTTATTCTAATAACTTAGAAACAGAAAAAGAGTAGGGATGGATGCACCTTGAGACCATAATGTTAGGTGAAGTAAATCAGACACACAGGCTTAAATATTGCATGGGTTCTCTTCTGGGAGAAACCGTAAGTATAAATAATTTACAGGGTAAAATCAAAGATTATATGAAAGAGAGAGAGAGTGGGGAGAGATCTTTTGTAGATGGGTAGGGGACCTACAGATGGAGGGGAAGGGGAAGTAAAAAGAATTGAGATGTGATATGTACAGGTTCCACCTCCTCACGATGAATGTAATCATTATGTACAGCAAACATGACTGATAAAAACTTAAAACCCTTATTAAAAAAGGATGGATTCCAGGCTCCAGTGGTACCGCTAGGTGTTGCAAGGTAGACAGCTCGAGGCTCTGGGAGCCCATGCTGGCCTCAGGGTGGGTGAGGCTGCCAAGCAAAGGGCCCTTACTCTATATCTTTTTTCTTTTCTTTTCTTTTTTCTTTTCTTTTCTTTTCTTTTCTTTTCTTTTCTTTTCTTTTCTTTTCTTTTCTTTCCTTTCCTTTCCTTTCCTTTCCTTTCCTTTCCTTTCCTTTTTTCTTTTCTTTCCTCTTCTTTTCTTTTCTAGAGACAGGGTCTTGATGAGCTGTGCCTGGTAGTACACAACTGTAATCCCAGCCCTCTGGTAGGCTATAGTAGGAAGATCATAAGTTCAAGCCTAGCCTGGGCAACTTAGCAATTTAACAAGACCCTCTCTCAAAAAAGGGCTAAGGGTGTAGCTCACTTAGTGCAAAGGCCCGGGGTTCAATGCCCAGAACTCAAAGCAAGATAAAACAAAAACAGAAAAGGAAGGATTCAGTGGTTGGCAGCTTTCTTGAACCGCCCTTCCTTCTTTCAGGCTGATAGCACCAAGGAAGTTGACGTGGAGCCGGGTGTTCGGCTGTCTGTCTGTCCACCAATCCCCAGACTGAGGCTGGACTCCAAAGCATCTGTGCAGGGGCGGTAAGACCCAGAACATGCTCTAGGTGCCTTCCCACAAGCCCAGGAAGCCGCAGGCTGAGCCCAGATTGAAGGTAAGCTGGAGCCAGGCAGCCTCACTCATGACTGCTCCTAACAAATACTCACTAAAGGCACCTGAGGGGCTGGCTCTGCCCTGGCACTCAAGTGGGCACGGCAGAAGACACCAGTGAATGAAAAAGATCACTGCAGAGAGAGAGAAAGGCTGCTGAGGCAGACAGGAGGTGGCATCTGAGCTGTAGTTCATGATGTCAGAAGGAGCTGCCCTCTCCACTGTTGGGGGCAGAGTGGCTGACTTGGGCCAAGGCCCACCACCTGTGGAGCAGCCGTTGAGGCTTTTGTTGTTTGGTTTAGTTTGGTTTGATTTTTTGAGACACTGGTCTCACTGTGTAGCCCAGGCTAGCCTTGCACTTGCAGAGATCCTCCTACCTCAGCCTCCTCAGCACTGGAATTACACCCATGCACCACCATACCTGGCACCACCCAGTGCTTTTGATCGTGACTTCTGGCCAGCACCCGCATCAGAAGATGTGGTCAGCACCCTGGTCCTGAAGAAGGAGAGGAAAAACTAAACCCTCTGCCAAGGATGTTGGAAATGGAGGAGAGAAAACAGCCATGGGTTTTACCCAGGAAAAGGTGTTAGGGCAGAACAGGCTGCAAGGAAGAGAAGGAAACAGGCAGAGGGGAATTGGGGGTTGGTGGCACAAGCAAGGAAGAAGCCCAGGCACGGTGAATTGCTACCTCTGTCTGGGACCATTTGGCAGGATCTGCGGAAAGGCAGATGTGCTTGCCCTTCACCCAGCTTCCCTTCCTAGTGCTTGTAATTCGTGAACAAGCATTCAGGCAGTGATGGCGAACCTTCTAGAGCTTGGTGGTAACAGACAGCCCACTGAGGCATGCGTGCCGTAGGTTCACCACCACTGACAGTAGGGCAGTGGTGTTTGTTGCAGTGCTGGAGACAAAAGAGCCTAAATAACCATCCGTTGAGTCAGTCTTGGTGCATTCCACTCAGTGAAATCTTGGCTGTTTTCAGAGCAGACAAAGTATGTCTGTCTGTCTGTCTGCCTGTCTGTATGTGGAGATGGGGCAAGAGGTCCACACCGTGGATCAGAAGTGAGTGATGTGTAGAGTTTTTAAAGCCATGTTCTTTCCAGGAGCAGAGAGGCAGGTCTGGAGGAGGACCCCAGAGATCCCTTTCTGCTTTACAGCTCTAGGTCTTCTGTTTGAATGCACCCATATCAATTCTGTTGTTAAAATGAAGTATTTGCCACTGTGGAAAAAATAGCAGACAGGAGGGATTTCCAGTCATCTTTTTCCCTCCCCTCCATGCCCCTCTCCTTTCCTTTGCTTGACAGTATTTCACTGTGTTGACCAGGTTGGCTTTGAACTCACGGGTCAGGCGATCTTCTCATCTCAGGAGTAGCTAGGATTGTAGGCATCAGTCACTGTGCCTGGGTTTCATTTACCTTGACAGTTGTAGGGGTCAGGGACTGGCATGGTGGGTTTGTCTTCCCTAGGAGCTAAGCTGAGCTGTCACTTCCTGCTGTGCAGCCTAGGACCCCCACTCCAGGAAGCACCTGTGCCCTTGGTTGCCGCTGCACATACCGGCCCGGGATGACGCCTAAACCCTTCCCCTAAACCCTTCCCACAGACAAAGTCAGGGCCCCTTGGCCACAGGAAGGTGACCTTGGGCCCCTGGCCTGCCCTGACCAAGTGGCCAAGATCATTCTAGCTCCAGATCCTGCATCTTTATGCTCCTTTCATGGATTGGTTCTTGTCTGAGGCTGTGAGGCCAGAAATGGAGTGAGGTTAAAAGTTGAGGCCCTCCTGAGCCCTACTGGTGTAGAATGCAAATGAAGGTCAGAAATAGGCTTTGGATATATACTCCACCCAGCCAGGTGCACTGGCTTTGAGCCAACTCTGAGCAGTCTGGCTCCAAGCTTAGGCTGCCTCCCCCAGCACCAGAGTCTCCAGCCCCTTGGGTGCTGCCACCCCGCTGTACCCGTCTCTTCCAGCCTTTTGTCCACCATGGCCTCAGCTGACAAGAATGGCGGGAGTCTCTCCTCTGTGTCCAGCAGCCGCCTGCAGAGCCGGAAGCCGCCCAACCTGTCCATCACTATCCCACCGCCTGAAGCCCAGGCCCCCAGCAAGCAGGACAAGACGATCCCCCAGGTGAGGGGCCAAGCTGGGGCTCACTGTCCTGCCACAGGAGCAGATATGCCCACATGACACCTTTCAGACGGTTTCATTTCCTGAAGAGGCCCCGTGCAGCCTGGCCCCTGGGTCTCCTGCCTTCTTCCTGGGCCTGATAAGATACTACAGGAAGTTCCTGGGGCATGGGCTCTAGGGCACAGGAGAGGCTGTCTTTGAGAAAGGGTTCCTGGGCACACCAGGGCACTGGCTGTTTGCATGCAGATACCCAGCCAGCTCTCAGTGCCCTTCAGAGGGCTGAGGGACATGGGGTTCACAGCTCCAGCAGCCTGCCTGTGCAGTGCCTGAATTCTCAGGAAGATGGTAATGAGCTCCCGCCCCATAAAGAGCTCATTGAGGACAGCCCCTAAATGGCGTGGGCTTCCCACAGAGCTGGGGCATAAAGGGGTGCTATGTTCGCACCGCCTGCTCACCCCAGGAGCTGTGTAGAATGTACAAAGTGCAACCAAAAGGTGCTGGATAGGGAGGCATGGTGGGCTTTGGTGGGAGACAGGAGAAAACGGATTTTAAATGCATAATGAAGGGTTGTGGGTGTGGCTTCTTAGAGGGCTTGCCTAGCACGCCCAAACCCCTGGGGTCCAAAACAAGCAAACTAGTTAATAAACTAATTCAGCACGGAAGCAGCTGGGATGGGGGCGGAGTGGAGCTGAGCTTGTTTTGGGGGCTTTCCTGCTGGCAGACGGCACGCATTACCACCTGTCCTCCCTGCAGAGGCCCAAGAACCCCACCTACATGAAGAGCGTCAGCCTCCAGGAGCCACAGGGACGGTGGCAAGATGGTGCAGAGAAGCGCCCTGGCTTCCGCCGCCAGGCCTCCCTGTCCCAGAGCATCCGCAAGTGAGCATCCCCGTTCTGCCCGGCCATCCTGGCGCCCTGTAGGTTCTGGGCACCTGGACATCCGCTGAGCCTGTCCCTGTGTCCCTTCCAGAGGAGGAAGAAGACGTTAGTAGGCGGTGGCTGTCTGCCTTAGTGAGAGTCTAATGTTATGCTGTAGATGAGGAAACGGAAGCCCAGAGGCAAGTGCCTGGCAGAAAGCCACCAAGTAGAGTCTGAGAAGGTCCAGGAAGTTGCAGGGCCCTCTTCCCAGTCCTCCTCCTTATGATGCAGCCTGCACTCCACCTCTGCTCGGAGGGCTCCAGTCAGGGGCTCAGGGAAGGCTGATCCCCCTCTCCCCAGAAGGCATATGGGTCGGAGTGTGTGGACATCTCCACAGTGTACACGTGCACCCTCGCCCCCGTGTCACCTCCCTTGCACACATGCTGTGCTTCCAGGGTGCATGTGCTGGCCTCGTGTGCGCCGCCCACCCACCACTCTCCTCTGCAGGGGCACGGCCCAGTGGTTCGGGGTCAGCGGCGATTGGGAGGGCAAGCGGCAGAACTGGCAGCGCCGCAGCCTGCACCACTGCAGCATGCGCTACGGCCGACTCAAGGCCACATGCCAGAGGGACCTGGAGCTGCCCAGCCAGGAGGGGCTGTCCTTCCAGGGCATTGAGTCTCCAAAGCCTTGCAAGATGCCTAAGGTGGACTTTGTGGGGAGCGGGTGGCCGGTTGGCTCCCCCCACTGGGGACTGGTCAACCCTGCTCACCCTCTGTCTCTTCCAGATTGTGGATCCGCTGGCCCGAGGCCGGGCCTTCCGCCACCCAGACGAGGTAGACCGGCCCCACGCCCCCCACCCGCCACTGACCCCTGGGGTCTTGTCCCTCACCTCCTTCACCAGCGTCCGCTCCGGCTACCTGCCCCGCCGCAAGAGGATGTCCGTGGCCCACATGAGCTTCCAGGCTGCTGCCGCCTTCCTCAAGGTGGGGACCCCTCCTGCAGTCAGGGCCCCCACCTTCCTCCTCCCACTCAGATGCCTGCCTGCTGTGCAAGGCCAGTGGGTATGCTGGCACTCTGGAAAGAGAGGATGCCCCAGTTCCCACGTGAGCCCCACATTGCCTGTCCAGTTTTGGGACCTGGAGGGACCTGGAGCTGCCCAGTCTGCACTGACTTGTAAGCCAAGGAAGTGAGAAGTGAGATGTGTGCTTGCCAGTCACCTGCCTGTGTTAATGAGCCCGTGACTGCTAGGCATGGGAAGTGCCCAAGGTGGGGGTGATGTCACTGTTGGGTGGTCAGTTTGGGAGAGAGGCTGGAGTCAGGGAAGACAGGAACCCAGGAAAAGAAGGGAGGGAACAGCATTCTCACTTGTGGAAATGGCTAAGCAGAGGCCTGTGGTCCTTCCAAGGCATGGTGTGTGGGGAAGCAGTTGGATATGTTTTAGTGAGGACCACTGTGAAAGGTATGGAGGAGATGAGATCCGACAGGTGGGCAGGGGCCTGTATGCCAGGCCAAGAAACAGATGTGGGAGCACAGCCAGAGCCTTGGGGAGAGTAAGGGTATAGAACCTGGAATGCTTTGGGTGTTAGGATGTCAGCTGCTAATGTCAGAGGCGCAGGAGGTTGCCAGAGAGGAATTGACTCCAAACCGTGGAGAGAGGAGGGTAGTCAGGGCCAGTGGGCATTCTAGCCTTCCACCCTCAGCAGCGTGTACACCTCCCATGTGCACTGTGCTTGGGCAGGAACCCACTCCCAAGGTGCTGCCCCCGGGATGGCCTGGCAAGTCCTTCGATGCTGAGGGGCTGGGGACCTGGCTTGCTGTGCCCTGGTCCTGATACCTAGGCCTCTGCCTCACGTGCAGGGGCGCTCAGTGCTGGATGTGACTGGACAGCGGTGCCCCGTGATCAAACGCAGCTTTGCCTACCCCAGCTTCCTGGAGGAGGACGTGGTCGATGGAGCAGACACCTTTGACTCCTCCTTTTTTAGTAAGGCAAGCATGGGGTATAGGCCCTTGGGGGATGGGGATGGGGTAGCCTAGGACCTGGGAGGGGCAGCCTTGGCCTTGATCATGTCCTGTCCCTAAAGGACCGAAGGCCTGTGGATTACTGGTGGGATGGGCTGTGTCCTGCATGGAGCTGTTGGCATGGGGATAGTGACCACAGGGAAAGTCACCATCAGGGCTGACAAGCATGTGGCTTCTCCTTCCATCCTAAAGAGCCTGTCTGTCCACCCTTGTCTTCCCCCTGATTTGGGATGCTGGGGGACAGTGTTTGGGACAGTAACTCCTTATACCGTTCTTTGTGTCTTCCACCCCAGGAAGAAATGAGCTCCATGCCTGATGACGTGTTTGAGTCTCCCCCACTCTCCGCCAGCTATTTCCGAGCGATCCCACATTCAGCCTCCCCAGTCTCCCCTGAAGGGGTGCAGATCCCTCTGTGAGTGAGGGATGGAGCAACCCAGCCTGCAGCCTTCCCATACCTGACTCCCACCCCCAGCCCCTCTGAGCCCTGGGGGTGGGCGTCGGGGAGACAAGGGGACATCAGGGTGAGAGCCGCTGTCCCCTCAAGGAAGGAGTGTGGCCACACCCCCGTCCCAGGGACCCGGCGCGGCAAGCGCATTGCCTCCACTGTGAAGCACTTTGCCTTCGACCGGAAGAAGCGGCATTACGGCCTGGGTGTGGTGGGCAACTGGCTGAACCGCAGCTACCGCCGCAGCATCAGCAGCACAGTGCAGCGGCAGCTGGAGAGCTTCGACAGCCACCGGTGAGCTCCGTCCCGCAAGTCAAGGGCCCGAGAGCCCGCCCCCCGCCACAGAGCCTGGGAGCTTCCCAGTCCTCCTGGGCCCTCCCCCAAAGTGTGCACACCCCCGTGGGTAGCAAGCACTAGAGGAGCATCTCCCGCGGTCAGGAGTGTAGCCACACCTGGGGCACAGCGTCACCTGGGGAGCCCCAGAGGCTCACTGCCTCTCCACCACCTCCTGCTTCCTCGCTGCATCCTCAGCCTGGTGCCCAGATAGCATTCGGCTCACTAAGCACCACCACACGTAGGTCCCAGAGTAGCCCTGAGAGAAGGGAGCGGGGAGCAGGCAGATCAGAAGGACAGTGGGAAGCTGGACTGGGAGAGGGGCTGGGGGAGGCTGTACACAGCGACCTTGAGGGAAACCAAGTTGGGGAAGGTGATTCTCATGTATGCTGGCAGTGTGACCTGATAGACACTGGACCTCAAATTATAAATAATGAATAAGCACGAGTATAATGAGTGTCCTGGACAGAAGGATGGAGAGTGGGGGTGAAGAGCTCATTGAGACAGTTGCTATCAGGGTAAGATGGGTGAAGAGAAATGTGCAAAGACTCCCAGGCAACAGAAATGTTGTGCAAAGGTCCTGGGACAGCGGGAACTATGATATGTTCCAGAAACTCAGAGGAGGAGAGGAAAGAAGCAGCAGAGGTAGGCAAGCACAGTAAGGCCTTGCAGTCTCTACAGCGGAGAGTGGTTGGAAATTTCACCCTCAGGGCATTGGGAAGCCTTGAGGTTTTAAGCTGAGACACTTAGAGATGCATCTTTAAACTGCTCTGGGGAGGGATGAATGGAAGCAGAGAACAGAGAGCCCCAGCGAGCCTGGTGTGGCTGGGCTGACCCGAGGCCTCTGTCCCTAGGCCCTACTTCACCTACTGGCTGACCTTCGTCCACATCATCATCATGCTGCTGGTGATTTGCACGTATGGCATTGCGCCTGTGGGCTTTGCACAGCACCACACCACCCAGCTGGTGAGTTGGGCTCCCTACTGGGGTCCTGGTCTTCTCTCGGGGTCCCAGCCTCCCCTTGAGGCTTCAGCACAGTGGGTGCCAAATGTCTGCCACCCCAACACCCTGGCCCAAGCAGGAGGTGTTCAGGCCCGCCATGGCCTGGCCCCTTCCTAAAGGCTGCACCTTGGGGACTGTCCTGCCCCTCTTCCACTCCCTGGCTTCAGGCTCACTCTTCTGGTGCCACCTCTGCGACAGGTGCTGAGGAACAAAGGTGTATACGAGAGCGTGAAGTACATCCAGCAGGAGAACTTCTGGATCGGCCCCAGCTCAGTGAGGCCCAGGCGGGGGATGCCATCAGATCAGGGAGCCCCTGTGTCTCGTCATCCCTGGCTGGGGGGGTGGGCAGCTGCCTACCTGGAGGCCCCTCTTTGGGGGAAACTTGACAGAGTAGAGGTGAAGTGGTGGCCCCTCCAGTCTGGGCCCAGGCTTACCAACCCCTGTCCCACCCCCAGATTGACCTGATTCACTTGGGGGCCAAATTCTCCCCCTGTATCCGGAAGGACCGCCAGACTGAGCAGCTGGTGCGGCGGGTGCGAGACCTGGAGCGAGACTCAGGCTGCTGTGTACAGAATGACCACTCAGGCTGCATCCAGACGCAGAGGAAAGACTGCTCGGTGAGGCCCTCCGATCCCTGCCACCCCTACTTGTCCCTCCCTGCTGCGGCCTAGAGGAGACTCCAAGGGCTGTGAGGATGTTTGCCTACGTCCCCCCAACCCCGCAGCCCCATACACACCTGCAGGCACCCAGTCTAGCACAGAGGACCCTGCTGCTGATTGGTCCCTGCTGCTCCCCCAGCTCAGCCCCCCAGCCCCCTGCCCAAGAGGCCAGGTCTCAGGAGGGTCAGGCCATGGTGGAGGTCTGGGAGATGGGCGTGAGCCCTGGGAAACAGGAGAAGCCCCTGCCCTGGAAGGTCCTTTGTCTGCATCAGTGCTCTGACCTTGCCCCAGTGTGACCAGCCCTTCTCCACCCTCCAGGAGACTTTGGCTACTTTTGTCAAGTGGCAGGATGACACCGGGCCCCCCATGGACAAGTCTGATCTTGGACAGAGGCGGACGTCCGGGGCTGTGTGCAACCAGGACCCCAGGTACAGCCTCAAGCTGCTTATGGGTCCAGAGTAGCCCAAGCCAGGCCGCCTGCTTGGATGCTGGTGGGTGGGCGTGGCAGGCAGAGGTGTCTCAGTCCCTCGTTTTGCCCAATCTGATCTCTGCCTCCAGGACCTGCGAGGAGCCAGCCTCTAGTGGTGCCCACATCTGGCCTGACGACATCACCAAGTGGCCGGTGAGTGAGTGAGCACCCCTGGGCAGAAGGTGGTTTGGGAAGGATGCGGATGGATGGCTTCCTGTCACTCAGGCCCGGCCCCCAACTCTGTCCCCTCCGCAGATCTGCACAGAGCAGGCCAGGAGCAACCACACAGGTTTCTTGCACATGGACTGCACGATCAAGGGTCGCCCCTGCTGCATTGGCACCAAGGGCAGGTGAGCTGGCTGGTACTGCCACCCCTAGGCTGATGCCCTCCCATAATTGTCCCTCTGCCCCCTGCCCAGGGCCTCCCATGGTGTGAGTAGGAGGAAGGGGAGCTTTCCTGGGCTGAGGGCTCCCTTCCTGCCTGCTGGGGCCAGGTGCTGGGCTCCAGTTTAGGTGGGCAGGCTTCTTCATGCCCCCTCTTTCCTTCCTGTGCCCCCAGCTGTGAGATCACCACTCGGGAGTACTGTGAGTTCATGCACGGCTATTTCCATGAAGAGGCAACACTCTGTTCGCAGGTGGGGTGAGGTCTTGGAGGCGTCAGGGCAAGGACTGTCAGCCTGGGCAGAGAAAGCTGGGCACTGAGGCCTGCAGGGGCTCTCACATTCGGTCCCTGGACTCAGCCAGCACTGACCACACACACTCCCCACGCCCCCAGGTGCACTGCTTGGACAAGGTGTGTGGGCTGCTGCCCTTCCTCAACCCTGAGGTCCCAGATCAGTTCTACAGGCTCTGGCTGTCTCTGTTCCTACATGCTGGGTAAGAGGGTCCTCAGTGCCCCCAACCTAGACCTCTGTGACACCTCCCACCTGGACCCTAACCTGCCCGACCCTGCTGCTCCTGAAGTGCTGACCATGCCCGTGTGCCCTGGTCCCCAGCTTGGTGCACTGCCTCGTGTCTGTGGTCTTCCAAATGACCATCCTGCGGGACCTGGAGAAGCTGGCTGGCTGGCACCGCATCGCTATCATCTTCATCCTCAGTGGCATCACAGGCAACCTTGCCAGCGCCATCTTCCTCCCGTACCGGCCAGAGGTAGGGATGCAGGACAAGGGCTGAGAGGGTGGGAAGCGGTGCCTCTGACTCCAGCCTCATGCTTTGTAGCAGGGCCAGGCCTCTGCTCCCCTCCCGCCCACTTGGGATGTGCCGGAAGGACACGGGACCCCGCCCGTGTGGGCTCAGCAGCGGGTGGACAGCTAAGCCGGGGCTTACTGGCTGGTCCCTTAATCCCTAGCAGGAGGGAACAGTGGTGATCTTGAGTCACCACCCATACCAACCCCCTCTGCTCAGTGCTTACCTCCAGCAAGAGCTTCCCTGTCCCTCTTCACTGCTTCATTCCTTGTTCTAACCACGGGCCTTCCCAACAGTATACAAAGTGTCTGTAGGGTGGGCCCGTGCGGCTGTCCTTCACTGACAGACTTACAGTCTTGACCCCTTCAACCTAACGCTTGCTTGTCCTGTCCTGCCCACTCACCACTGTAGCTGCCCACCCAGAGCCAGGTGGTTCTGCTAATTGCATGGGTCCCACACTGGGCAGGAGCACAGCAGGTGCTCACTGTGTGCTGAAAGGAAGGGTGGAGTAGGCCCGGCCTTGGTCTGGCAGCTCTGGCTGTGCGCAGCCCCTGAGAGAGGGTCTCCCCCCTGCCCAGGAGGTAGGTCCTGGTGGTGTTCACCCAGGTGGTACCTGGTACTCCAAGGAACATGTCTCCCCTCCTCCGTCCCAGGTGGGCCCAGCAGGGTCACATTTTGGCCTCCTCGCCTGCCTCTTCGTGGAGCTCTTCCAGAGCTGGCAGCTGCTGGAGCGGCCCTGGAAGGCCTTTTTCAACCTGTCGGCCATCGTGCTCTTCCTGTTTGTCTGTGGCCTCTTACCCTGGATCGACAACATCGCCCATATCTTCGGCTTCCTCAGCGGCATGCTGCTGGCCTTCGCCTTCCTGCCCTACATCACCTTCGGCACCAGCGACAAGTACCGCAAGCGCGCGCTCATCCTGGTGTCGCTGCTGGTCTTTGCTGGCCTCTTTGCCGCCCTGGTCCTCTGGCTCTACATCTACCCCATCAACTGGCCCTGGATGGAGGACCTCACCTGCTTTCCCTTCACCAGCCACTTCTGCGAGAAGTACAAGCTAGACCAGGTGCAGCACTGACCCCCGACCCACAGGCACAGATGTCGCAGGGATTGCGCCCGCAGCGGGCTGCTGCGTCTGCCAGACTCTGGGACTGGCACTGGGCCCAGGCACTCGCCCAGTAAGGCAGGCTGAGTCTGTGTAGGAAAGCCAGTAAAGGCAGATTTTGGGGTATGGGCCCCCCCTTTCTCAGGCCTGAGTGTTCCTGGCCCAGCTTGGGGACACCCAGGATGCCTGCTTCTCTGAGGTTCTGTTCCAGCACTGCCACACACCTGCAGGGACCCTTCTGGGGACTGTCTCTTTTCTTCCCAGGGCCCAGGGCCGCTGCATCTGCTCACCAGCAGATGTCACTGTCACTGTGAGCAAGCCCTTGCCAGACACATGGCTGCTCCCTCTGTTGCCCCAGGACTAGCATCACCACTGTGGTCCCCTCCCTGTTCTCTCCTGTGAGCATACCTGCTTCATCTGTGGCCTGGTGAGCCTTCTCCCAAGCCTCCGGGACAGGGCATTCTGGGAGAGGCTGCGGCCTTGGTCCAGGCACGGAGACAAAGCAAGGAGACAACAGACAGGGACATTAGGAGCCTTTGCTTGTTTTAGCAGCAGAGGCTGGGTCCTCAACTCGCCCTCAGTCTCCTTGACTCAGTATTCTGTCCCTGACACCAGGTGGTCTCCACCTCCTTTGCCTCACTTGTGCTGCAGTGAGGGACACAGGGCTGAGGACCCGCTCTCAGGGGATGCCTGAGGCTCAGTTGTGCTTGGGTCTGGCTTTTTGTTTGTTTGTTTGTTTGTTTTGTTTTTTACTAGTTTATATTATGGTCCTAATTTTTAAAAGTAACGCTAACTTTGTATGGATGATGTCTCAAATGTATTAAATGATATTCTTTGTGAAATACTCTGTTTAAACTGAGACTGCCCATGCAATGAAGGCTGGAACTTTTGGGCTTGAGGGTTTCAGCTCAGAGGCACTGGCTCGACTCAAGGGACAGCAAAAAACTTGTAAGACTTCTTGAGATTTAGTTGGACCAAAAACCATTCGGAGCTGGAGGGAAGACCTCAGAGGGTGTCCTGCAAGAACAGAGTGGCATCCTTACTCTCGGGGCCTCACCCCAACCTGCTGTGCTTTTGCAGTGAGGACACTGGCTCGCCCTGGCTGAGATGCTCTGGGGGGAGAAGGTAAGGCACTGCCATTCCTCCAGCCAGGGGCAAGTCCATGCAGCATGCCCGTGCCCACCCCCAGCCCCACAGCACACCAGCAAGTCACCAAGGAGGTACCGGGAACACGACTGCTTTATTCTGTAGCAGAGAAGCCCATGTGGGACAGTGGGATGGCCAGGAGGGAAGAGGGGGCAGGTCAGGCACAGGGAACCCTAGCAGGAGGGTGTGGCCCTTGTACGCACTTCCCTGCCCATCACGAGGTCTCTGGCCTCTCCCCATCCTGCTCCTAGCTCTCCCCCATGCCTGGGGCCAAGGCCAAGAAGGGGTGTCCATGAGGCCCCTGAGCATCAGGATGAGGCAGGAAATGCAGAAGCAACCTGAAAAACACCTCCCACCATCCCCATTTACCAGCCCACCCTGGTCTTGGGTCTTGGGCACAGAGTTTGGAGGGCAGGAGGCCGGGGGGCCTGGTGTGGACAGAGGACATGGCCTCCCTGCTCTGTCTGGAAGGCTGGGCTCTCTCCCTCTCCTCTCTCTCGACCATTCTGGCTGGGAACTGCCATCTGCCCTCCTGCTCAGCTAGGCTAGGGTGGCAGAGAAGGGGACGTGGAGGATGGGAGGAGCCCCAGGCTACCGTCTCATTTTTGGGGCCAGGCGGCAGCCCAGCTCAGCAGCCGCTGTTCCTGCGCAGAAAGGTGTGGCTGCGCAGCGAGCACTGGAGCTCTGTGAAGGCGAGGGAGCCCACGGTGACGGCACACGGGCCCACAGCCTGGAAGCCAAACTTCTCATAGAAGGGCACTAGCGCATGCTCACACATGAGCACGGCCCGCCGCACGGCCGGCTGGCTGCCCAGGTGCTGTAAGTAGCGCCACAGCAGGATGGAGCCCTTGCCCTGCTGCCGGAAGGTGCGGTGCACAGCCAGCACGTGCAGGTGGGCTAAGCGGCCCCCAGGCCTGTGCAGGGTCAGCGACTCCTAGGGTGAGCAGGGCATAGGAGTCCAGGTCACCTCTGTGCCACTTGCTCCCCCACGCCACTCAACCTAGGCCAAGGGCAGTACCTCTTAAGGGGATCTGTCCCCACCCAAGGAGGGTCCCAAGTTGGGAGCTATGCCACTAGCCCCATGGAGGAAACTGGAAGTTCTTCAAGACCCCAGAGGGTAGGGCTGGGCACTCTCACCCTGGGAGGGGTCTATGGCCTGTGCTCATCTCTGGTTCTGGAAGAAATCCCGGCCCTGGAGCTCTCTGCCCACTGTCCACCCAGTGCCTGGCCAAAGCTGTCTTGCAGAGGCATCCCAGGAACTGGGTGTCATGGCCCCTCACCCTCACCTGAGTGAGTCTGTCCTTGTCCCAGAGGGAGCCGATGATGAAGGCCACAAGGCGGCCTTCCTCGAACCAGCCCAGGGACAGCTCGGGACACAGAGTCAGGAAGTGCCGGATCTCATCCAGGTACAGGGGGCAGATGCCCGAGACAGAGATAAAGGCTGTGGCAGGGGGCATACGCGGGTGACTGTGGGCACGGTACAGTAAGTGATCTCCGATGCACCCCCACACACAGGAAGACAGGTAACTCGGGGCACTTATGTCCCCTACTTTCTTGAATGCACACATGCCCTGATCCTTTAGTTTGTACCCAGATCTGAAGGGCAGGAGACTCGGGAGAGGACGCCAGGGCTGGCTTAGCCCTCCCTGCCTGAGCAGAGCTGCTCACCTTCACGCTCGATCTCAAACACGCTGACCGCATCCTCCAGGGTGAGGCAGCGAAATTCACTGGCAGGGAGTGTGTGGCGCCGCTGGCAGCTTGGGGACTCTGAGGTCCCAGGTGGCAGGCTCGGGGCCTCGGGTTTCAGGGGGAGGATGCTCTGCATGGACATCCTCGCTGCTGGTGCCTCCCTGCGGTGCCCCAGCTCCCGAAGTGGCCTTGTTACTGAGGAGGGTCCCCTCTTCCTGCAGGACAAGTGCCAGGGTCAGGTCTGATCCTCATTCCCGAAGGAGAGACAGAGCCGGTGTATCTGGCACCAGGGTAGGGCCAACCCACAAAGCAATGGGCTCCTTCCCCAGGTCAGATTCTGGGAACCCCAAACATGGGTGCTGTCTCTCTCCCACCTTTCCTTGGAGTCAGAATGATCAGAACAGCCCCTCCAGAACTCCAGAGTCAATTCATGGTGCATCTGAACCTCAGGAGGTGGTGGAAGGGAAGGACAGGGTTTGATGGAGCCTGAGGCACCCCAATGCCACTGAGCAAGGAAGCAAGGCACATGAGCCTCCATGACCCCTTCTGCTGCAACTGCAGGGTGGGCGGGTGCCCAGGCCTCCCACACTGCTGCTCAAGGGGCTTGTCTTACCTGCCCAGAGGGAGACTTACGGTCCTTTGAGTGCAAGACAGTGTGGCCAGGAGCTTTTTAGGCAGCCTTAGTCCTCAGTCCTGGAGGAGTGGGGGTGAAGCTCCTCAATCAAAGTGGGCCCTAAAGCGGGATGTGGTAGTGCATACCTGTAATCCCAGCACTCTGGAAAGTTGAGGCAAGAAGATCGGAAGTTCAAGGCCAGTCTGGACAATTTAGCAAGACTGTCCTAATAAGAAAATTTTTAAAAGAAATGGGGATGTAGCTCAGTGTGCCATCTTGGATTTGATCCCCAGGACAGCAAAAGAAAGAAAGAAAATTAAAGTAGGCCCTTCAGGAGTCCAGATGGCTCCAGAACCATGGACATACAAGATGGGGGACAAGGTTGGTTAGAGGGAGTCAGGAGCTTTGGAAGGCATGGCGGTGAGAAGAAGCAGGCATGGAGGACACACACGACACTGTCAGCCCCATCCTTCATGTAAGGTGAGCGCATATGGATATGTCATCTCTCATGACCCCCTGCAGCTTCCCAGTTCCTCATACTTCCTGGGGAAGGTCATCCCTCCCTCCCTCCCTCTGTCTTCAAAGACACTCAAAAATCTCATGGCTGAGAGCCAGGAGCAGGGGTCACTTACCAAGACTTGGAAGCAGGGCCTCAATGTCCCCTTCACAGGACCTGTGTCCCTAGGGGCCCATCCACAGGCCCAGGAACCAGGGAACCCGGACTCCAGGCTTCAAGGAGGTAGTGGCAGGTGCCGCTGGCAGCACGTGACACTGTCAGAGATTTCTAATTCCCCAGCCCCGCCAGCAAGCAGGCAGTGCCAGTGGGGCTTAGCAGCTCAGGCTGTCCCTGTTCTGCTGAGGCTGGATGTCAGTGCTGGCACAATGGAGGCACAGGGATTACCCAGCCAGCTGGCACCAGCCCCTCACCCTCTGACCCTCAGAGGCCAGCTTGCCCAAGTCCCAGAGGCCCCTCCTGTTTAGGCAGCCTGTATGCCCTGCTGCCATTCCTACCCCTTGTTTCATGCTGAGCCCTGGGTAAGCAGCTTTCACAATCCACGTGATGGTCCTGTCGGGTGCACGAGCCCCTTCTTAGGAGGGAGCAGGCTCCATCCCACTCCTTCATGTGCAAAACCAACACTCAAAGAGCACAGGAAGGCTCCCAGCAGCACTTTTCATGGCTTGCAAACCAGAAACAATCCAAATGCCGACCATCCCAGGAAAGGAGCACGGAATATGCGCAGAGCAGCATTGGTCCTGCTGAACAAACCACGTGAAATGCAACGCCACTGGTGATGACAGCACAACACCAAGAAGCCAGGGAACAAGAGCAGGACTGTGAGATGCCGCAGTGAGCTCTAACGCACCTGTCAGGACTAGGTCAGTGGCTGCCCGGGCTCTGGGATGCTGGGAAGGCCATATTTAGTTCCTCAGTTGAAGGCTTATGGGGGGGGGGGGGCTTGCAGAAATTCATCAAGCTGCCGATTCATGCATTTTTATGCATCTATGTTCTTAAAGTTTATTTAAATATCCAAGAGATTGCTCTGCCCAGCATCTGGACTCCAAAGCTCTCCGACTGCCCTTGACCTTGGCTGCATTCCTTTCAGGACTTGTCAGCACCTGGGGTGAGCTTTTTCCCCTGGAAGGGAACCCAGGCTCCTCCACCTCTCACACAGTTCAGATTCCTCCCTTCCCATCCTGCTGGCCTTAGCTCTTCTCTGGCCAGCCTCTGCTCTGACCTCCTGCCATCGCACCCTTGCCCATCCAGGCACCCTGTCCCGCAGGTGCATTCCTGCTACCTCACTGCAGAGGGGTGTTGACTGCAGTGCCAGCTGCGCATGTCACACACTTGGCCCTGACCTTGGAGAGATCCAAGACCAGCCAGATACCCCTAACACATGCACTGTTTTCCTTATCATTGGGGTTTCCATCTCCCAGGGCCCCCTTCTGCTGTGTGAGGCCTACCCGAACAGGTAGAGGGGGCGTTCATTATGCTGGCAGCTTCCCACCTTTCCCTGGCTGGGGACCTTTCCCTGGCTGGGGACCATCAACAGACTTCTCCAGGTTGACCAGAAAGACCCCCTCAGGCTTTGCCTGAGGTAGGGGGAACACATCAAGACCTCAGCTGGCACCCTCACCTCCAAACTCCAGCACCCACAAAGAGGCCTCCTTTGTCCTTACTTGGTGTCTGACTCCACTGCACCCCCTGGTGGCTGATCACAACTACTTGGAGAGGCTGGGGGAACACCTTTGAAATTGAACAACCACACGGCCTGGAAACATAAAGTGTTTCCCCCAAAGACTCATGTATCGAGGGCTCGATCCCAAATGTGGCAGTGTCCAGAGGTGAGACCCAGAAAGGTGGCTGCATCATGAGGGTGCTGACTTCATCAACAGATTAATCCACTGATGAATTCATTAGCTGAATGGCCACTAGGAGGGGGATCTTGCTGGGGAAGTCGGTAACTTGGGACATGTCTTTGGAGGGTATGTCCTGTCCCCAACCCTTTCCTCTCTCAGGTTCTCTCCCTGTTCTCGCTTTCCATTGCCCTGGGCTGAGCAGCCTTCCTTGGCCACACCCTTCCACCATGTGTTTCTACCCTGGAGCCCACTGACCATGGACTAAAACCTCTGAAGTCATGAACCAAGATTGCCCTTTTCTCTTTTAAATGATGTCAAGTGTTTTATCCCAGTAATGCAAAGGTGACTAATACAGCACCTTGAGTCTCAGAGAACAAGATGCAGCAGCATATTAAAGTTGGATAAAACCATCTGTGGAGCAGGAGAGAGAAGCAAAAGGGAGGGGAGGGGAGGGGTCACTGAGGCCTCTCACAGCCAACAGGAAGAAAACACCAATAGCAGTGAGAGGCAAGGGACCAGGGCCCACACTGTGATGCGTTCAAAGGCCAGGACACCCTGAAATGAAATTACATTAAGACCACAAGACCAAGATGGACAGCATTCCTCTCTAGAAGTACAGATGCCCGGTGACATTTGAATTTCAAATGAGTAATGAACAACTTGGTAAGTAGAAGTATGTCCATATAATATTCGAAGCATATTTAAGCTAAAAAGTTAACTGTTTATCCAAAAGTCAAATGTCATCAGGCATTCTGTATTTAATCCAGAAACCCTATTTGGGAGGTCTAAGAAAGGGGGTGGTTGGCACAGACTAGGGACAGGGCGGCAAGGGAGCCAGGAAGAAGATCTTGCTACACTATAGCCAGGAAAGTGTGTGTCTCGGCCTCCAGTCCCTATAAGGTAGCAGGTACTGGTGTGGTCGTCTCCTGCTGCACCCCTGTTACAGAGGCCTATCCAACTCTCCCTGTCCAAACAATGTTTCTCACACCCCTGGGATCTCTGGTATCTTGCCCAGACATTCTGATGTCGAGGTTCTAGAACTGAAAAGCCCCTGGTGACCAGCAGCTCAGCCAGCCCTGAGAACCACTGCTCTGCATGTTCATTTTCCATGCAGCCTTCTGGCCGTGACTTGGCATTCTGTCTGACTTTCTATGAGGACGCAGCACCTTGGCCACCATAGATCCTCAGCCCACCATGTGCACAGTGCAGGGATCCAAACCTTTGTAGCCCAGGCAAATTTTGCCCAAGATGCATGTATGCCCAAGGCCTGTTCTTCATGCCTCGGCTCTTCACCCAGCTGCAGCCTGTGACCGGCAGGCTGTCCTCCTGCCATGGCTTGAATATGATTAGTGTGTGCACCCCAGGGGCCATGTGTTTGGGACCTGATCTCCAGCGTGGTACCAGGAAGTGACATGGAATCTTTAAGAGGGAGGTTGGAGTGGGAAGCACTTAGTTCACTGAAAGCTGTTATAAAACAGTGAGGCATAGCGGCAAACCCCTGTAGTCCCAGCCACATGGGAGAATGAGGCAGGAGGATCACAACTTCAAGGCCAGCCTGAGCAAGTTGATAAGACTCTATACAAAATGAAATTTTTAAAGATGGCCAAGCCACTCCTGGCTAGTGCCCAGGAGGCTGAGGTAAGAGGATCGCCACAAGTTTGAGGGCAGCTTGAACTACATAAGGAGTTCAAAAACCAGCCTGAATTACATAGCAAGACCCTGTCTTAAAAATGAAATAATAAAAAGGGCTGGAGATATAGTTCAGTGGTACCCAAAGGAGAGGGAACAAAAGAGTTTGCCTGGCTTCTCCCTGATCTCTCTTGACATGGGACCTCTTCTCTCACTCCCATACTGCCATGATGTGATACAGCTGCTCTGAGGTCCTCACTAGAGGCCAAACACATGGGCCCACCTGATCTTGTACTTTCAGTGTCTAAAACAGTAAGCTAACTAACCTCTTTTCTTTATAAAACACCCAGCCTCAAGTATTTCATTATAGCAATGGAAAAAGGATGAACACACCCCCATCTGCCTACACCACTCCTACGAGAGTCTTTAGTGGGCAAATCTGATAGGCAAATCTGCTCAGTTCTCATTATATCCAATCTCTTCCAGCAGAAGCACCACAGGGGAACATGCAGTGAATCTTCCAGTTGATTGCCTTTGAGAGTGAGGGGGAGTCTATTAATAAGTAGACCAGGCGTAATGGTGTAAATGGGGCTGTCCTAGATGCAACTCCCTCCTCTCTTGGTTCTTCACCACCTCTTTCCTAATCCCTTTCTTGTCTGTCCCTTATAGATTAACATCCCCAGCACACAGAATAGTGGGGGGTTTTTTTTGTTTGTTTGTTTTTTGGTACTGGGAATCAAACTCAGGACCTTGTGCTTGCCAGGCAGGTGCTTGTGCCACAGAGCTATATTCCCAGCCCATCAGAGTAATTTTAGGGCAGTGAAATGATGCTATGTGCTGCTGGAAAGGTAGAAGCATGCCATTGTCCAGATCTGTAGACTGTGCAACACCAAGAGCAACTCTCATGCTAACTATGTGCTTTGGTGATAATGTCTCCTTTTCTTTGTTCTTTCCTTCCTCCCTCCCTCCCTCCCTTCCTCCCTTCCTTCCTTCCTTTTTTCTTTCTTCAGTACCAGGGATCAAGCCCAGGGCCTTCACACTCAGCTATATTCTCAGAACTTTTTGTTTTTTATTTTGTGTCTTGCTAAGTTACTAAATTGCTCAGGCAGGGCCCGAGCTTGTGATCCTCCTCCTTCAGCCTCCCAGACTGCTGGGTTTACAGGTGTATGCCACTCATACCAAACCCCTGGTTTCTTGAGATAGGGTCTCACTATACAGTCCAGGCTGGCCTTTAACTCACTATGTAGCCCAGGCTGGCCTCAAACTTGCAGCAATCCTCCTGCCTCAGCCTTCTGAGTGCTGGGACTACAGACTTGCACCACCAAGTTCCGGGCCAGAGACCTGCTTTTTCGCCCTGACCCAACCCTTGTGGAGGGCTTTCCCTTTAGCTGTGGGTGATCCTGGAGAATTTCCAGCTTCCAGTCACCAGTGTAGGGCCAGCTCCAGGACAAGTGCCTGAGATTACTTTCTCCAAGCGTGAAAGTGCCACGCTTAAGTGGGTTTACCACAACTTCTGGGGCAATAGGCCCTGTAGTACCGGAGAGTACTCCCACACCAACACACTCCTGCCCAGCATGCTGCAGCCTCAGGCCTGCTCTCCTGCTCCTGCAGCACCCACTGCCCAGGACCTCCTTCCCTGGGCTCCGCCAGACCACCCAGCACCTCAGCGGGTTATGCTGTCATTTACCTTCATTACTGGTCTGTACAGGGGTGGAGGGTAAGAGGGAGTGGGCTAGATACAGATGCTAACCTCTATCAGGCAGGAGAGGGCCACACCTGTGAGGGACCTGGCACTTGAAGACTTTTTTCTTTTTTGAGACAGGGTTTCACTATGTAGTCCAGACTGGCCTTGAACTCACTATGTAGCCCACGTTGGCCACCACACAAGGCTGAAGACTTTGTATGTGGGACTCCCACTCCTTCCAACCATAAGTACTAACAGTTAATTCTAATGGGGTCAGGAACCCGGTGCTCATCTTCCCCGCTCCCTAACTGCAGGGCACCACCTTCTTTACATGCTACCACGCTGGCCCTGTGGCTTTTCCACTTTACTTTCTTTGGCCCTCATTACTTATGGGCTTTCGCTGTTTCTCTGCCGCAGCCACTGCCCCCCATTGCAGCAACCCAGTTCCCTACTTCTAGTTACTGTGTCCCCTTTGCCTCTGCAACAGTGAGAATTTACACCCACCACTGCCTAACGTTCCACTTGCAGCCCATACCCGCCTGCCACCAGCAGGTCAAAGCGGAGTGCACCAGGGCCACCATACTGCACCTGCCACGGGGGGGGGGGGTGCGGCGGTGCTGGTCCTCGTCACCAGGTGGTCAGCTCCAAAATCCCATCCAGAGTCTGCTTCCCAGGCCTGCTGGCATCAACTGTCATGCAGGTCAGATTCCCCAGTAAGTAAACTGTCAGCCTCTGGGACCTGCCTGGAGAAGCTCATTGGGGAAAATCTGCCGTCAACACTGGTGAGGGAGAAAAGGGGTAGAAGTGGGCACAGGGAGGAGCTGGTCTGAGATGAGGTGCTGAGCCGCAGCAGAGGCTTTGGCTGATCCCAGGAGGAATGCTGAGGCTGGATGGCTCATCACAGATGTCCTGAGTGGAGGTGAGAGGTAGGGCATCTTCTCTCAGTCAAGGGCAGTCAGTCCTCGGAGAGGGATGTAGTGAGGAGCTATCAGCAGCCCAGCTGGCTGGGCAGCGAGGAGTTCCTCAGATCTGCAGGGGCACTGGGTCGCACACTGGGACATCCACGGCATGCCCGGCCCCTGGCCTTTGATTGCATGTGAAGCTTGAGGGTGAGGGCTGAACCTCAAGCAGTCAACTTGGTACCCAGAGAGGTGACACAACCATCGGCCCAGGAAGAGGACCCCAGGAGAAAAAGCCCTCCGGGGAGAAGATGATGAGTCCACTCTGCCCCTGTGGCTGCTCATGTCCAGGAAGCACCCATGAGGCAGTGCTAAGAAGAGGGCCCTGGCCTGGCAGCTTGAGAGTTGGTGGTAAACAGAGCAGGTGGCATGGTCAAATGAGGAGCTCCAGTCAAGCAGGTGCAGCAGACTTGCTGTGTCTTGATCCTGGGTCTTCAGGAAGGAGGACCTGCCGATCCCAGGCTTTCTCATGTCCCGCTGCTTCCCACTGCCCCAGCGCAGTTGGAGTGGGTGGGTTGCAGCCATCCTCATGGCAGGAGTGAGGAGCCTGAGGGCCAGCTGGTCTAGACCCTGCCCGAGGGGGCAGCACTGTGACCTTCGGGAGACCAGTGCTTCTCCCAGGGCATCAGTACAAGGCAGCGTGAGCTTTCAGGAGATGAAGGGCCCTTTTAACTTCAGAAGCTCATGAATTTTCAGTGACCCTCGGTGGGAGCCTTGGAGGGACACATTTCTCCAGCCAGCCAGAGGATGGTATGGGAGGCTCCTCTTCCACCCCACCTTTCCCAGCTGAAGTCCCAGGCCTCTTTAGAGGACCCAAACATTTGCTCCTGGGGGGAGCTGCTCTTTGAGCCAGCTGGAACCTGCTGGCACAGTGAGGTGTACAGAGGCCAAAGCTCCCCCAGGGGGCAGTGTGCAGCCCTGTGGAAAGGAGACAGGCCTGCCTCCCCTAGATCTTTCTGAGTACAGACCACTCCCATCCCACCACACCCCTACAGGAAGGACAGTGTCTGGCTGTGTGTCTGGCAGGCACATTTGTAAATAAGTGAAATTCTCTCATCTTGTGAGTTTGGTGTTGGGGCCATCAGAGGAGGAGTTTGTTTATTCTCTTTCCTATATCTCAACAATGATAAACAGAAAAATCAAGCAAGTGCTCCCACCTCTACTCACCCCACCAGCCAGCTGGGGTGTGCAGGACTATGGCTGGGGGCACAAGGTCTGGCAAGGAGTCAAGCCCCAGGCCTTGTGTGGGGCATCTCAGATCTGAGTGAGGTCCCCCAAAGACACCATGAGGTGGGAGAGGTGGGGGGAACTTACAGACAAGGCCCAGGATGGTTCACACACAGCTCAAGGGGGGCAACTAAAAGGGCCTGGAGATTGCATAGGCAGGAGTGCGTCCAAGAGCGCTCATCTCCCCACTGAGGCTTCAACTTGGTGGGGGACTCGGGGGGCACTGAAGGGCAACGTAATCTCAAACCCTTGCCACCCACCGAGATGACACGTTATTGAGCTCCAGCGCTGTACTAGGCAGCGGGGTAACACACACAAATACAATACAATCCACAGCTCAGCAGTTTAGTGAGGGGAGGACAAGCATCTGAAATCAAGGACTCTCACCTCCCACCTGGCAGGTTCCTGGTGCTCTATGTAAAGCACTTAGTATAGTACTATCGGCAAGAAGTTACAGCTCAGTAAGTGGTAGCTATTATTAGCCATTATTACAAAAAGCCTCAGAATAAACATGGCACGTCTTCCTGGAGTGCCAGTTTTACACAGATTAGAGAGGAAAGGACACTCCTTTTTTTATATTAAAACAATCAGCACAGGGATATGCCAGAGTAGCGCATTTTTGGATTTTTGGCATGAAACATAGATCTGGGGCCTGCCCTACCCCTTCATTCTACTTCTTCATCCCAGACCTCAGGGCCACGTAGACACACAGACTCCCCCTGTGGTCAGGAGCTCCTCAAGGGGGGATCTGGAGAAACAGGGTCACCAGGGAATGGTCATTGCTTAGAGTTCTTCTACCTGAGACTTCAGACACTCAATTCCTCGGGTCTTGTGTTGGTAAAATGAGTTTAACAATGGCTATGGGGGAGGCTATGGCAGGAGGATTGGTGTGAGTTGGAGGCCAGCCTGGGCTACATAATCAAGACCCTGTCTCAGAAAACAAAACAAACAAATAAACAAAAAAAAAACAAAAAAAGGTTACATGTATGATTGTGATAACAAACAAGACAATATATGTAAAAGAGTCTGGAACAAAGCCTGATCTATAATATGTGCTTAGTAAAT